CTTTACTTGGTGTCTTTGAATGGAGTAGAGAGCACAGATCCTAAAGTCCATATGGTTCACAGGTGGTACAGAGATGGGTGTTCAGGTTGTGTTCAGTTTACCATGGAGATTTGAAACTAAACCATCACTGCTGCTTCAAACTGAAATTGATTGAAGATGTTTGGTCTCTGAAAAATGGGTGATATAGTTTGACTGAGATTGCAGCTATCTTGGTGGAGGCCGAGGATTTTATGTTGAAGTATTAAGATAAGAGTAAGAAAATATTTTGACCCTCTGCATCTGAGAAAATTTATCCTAGAAATGGGGATAACACTCTCCTAGAATTGATCACCAAGTAAATCTGAGGTGGTGCTGGAAACAATGCCAAGGATTATTTTTAAGATGATGAAGAATTCTCCATATCTGTTTTAGGAGGCTGGGTGATAATTGGAATGAACAGGGAACCATATTTGAGACTACATGGAAGCTGAACAGCCAAAACTCTTGGTCTTTTTTATTTGTTGACTGGGTCAAATGTTTTAATATAGGCTATTTATTAACTATCATATAGGGTAAGTTGCTAGAAGAAAGATACCTCAAAGTATGCCCTCTCATGTAACAGTTCTGAAAGGTGTGGCCAATGCAGGGTGGATATGGACTCTGTTCCCTTTTGTCTTATTGTATTTGATTCCTTAGATCAGAAGTTGGCAAATTCTATTATACTTTAGGATCACCTGGACTCTGTTGCCAAATTTCTTTTTAAAAAAATATGTTTTATTGATTTTTTTACAGAGAGGAAGGGAGAAGGATAGAGTTAGAAACATTGACTAGAGAGAGACATCAATCAGCTGCCTCCTGCACACCTACTACTGGGGATGTGCCTGCAACTAAGGTACATGCCCTTGACCGGAATCAAACCCGGGACTTTCCAGTCTGCAGGCCAACGCTCTATCCAGTGAGCCAAACTGGTTTCAGCTGTTGCCAAATTTCTGATTTAGGTCTGAGTGGGTCCTAAGAATTGCATTTCTAACAAATTTTCAGGAGATGCTGATGTTGCTTGTATTATAACCATACATTGAGAGACACTGTCCTAGGGTGTGGACCTTGTTCACTTGGTGGAAGCTGGTTGCTGGCACTGTGTCCTCGTTTCTGTCCTGGAGGAAGGGGCAAAGAAAAAGAATGAGAAGAGCACTTCCACCTGTATGAAGAAAAGGTCCCAGAAGTTACTCAAGTTTCATTGGAAAGATATTTGTAATACAATTGTCTGCAAGGGAAACTGGGTAGGTTCTAGCTTGTAGATCACAATCCCAGCTAAAACATAGGCATTCTTTTGCCAAAAGGAAGAGGGGATAAATGCCCAGATCTGCCCATGTATGGGCATTCATATGTCATCCTCTGTGCCGAACGCAGGTTCAGTGCAGTTGTCCCAGGACTCAAGAAATGTCCTGAGTTCAGCTAGGCTTCTAGGGAGTCCTCAGACCCTTGAACTTGGTAGTAGTGGTCCAGACATTAATTTTTCTCTATCCCCTGCTGTCCTCCTCCTTTTCCTCTCCCCGACTAGTCTCCACAGCAAGTGGCCTATTTTTTTTCACAACTGATACTATAGCAATGGTGGTCTTATCCTGTTTATAGTGGTAGGATGTTGAGTAGGAATAAATCCTATCCTTCTGAGTAGATGGACTGACTCTTAAACCTATTTCTCCAACTTGAAGCATGACCTTCAAAAACATAAAGTGTTTTAAACTGTCAGGTCACCTAGCACAAAGGTAAAGGTCTGCATTGTCTCTAATAAAAGGATTTTTATATGTACTAAAAGTGGCCCCTAATGTGAGTTTCACTGACCTATGAATAAAAGGTAATGTATTTTCTTTCATTTAAATTCTTAGCAACAGAGTTCACATTTTGAAAACAAAATGCCAGTGAAGATGAATAATACTCTGTGTATTAAAAATAACATTTCTCCACTTTATTCTCACTTGCTAAGTTTCCATGACATTAAATTCTATTTCCATTGAAATTCATGTGGCATCATTCCCTTTTAGAAAGTTGTGTGAGAAGGATTAACTTTGTTTCTCTACTGTTAACCTACATCTTCATAAGCCATAAAAGCCTATTTTAACATCACCCAGTTGGACTCTCTGTGGTTGAAACATAATTTTAAGTTGAATAACATTTTTCTTTTTAAATATATTTTATTGATTTTTCACAGAGAGGAAGAGAGAGGGATAGAGAGCTAGAAACATCGATGAGATAGAATCATCGATCAGCTGCCTCTTGCACACCCCCTACTGGGGATGTGCCTGCAACCAAGGTACATGCCCTTGCCCGGAATTGAACCTGGGACCTTTCAGTTCGCAGACTGACACTATAAACACTGAGCCAAACCGGTCATGGCTGAATAACATTTTTCTATAGAGGGCAGTAGCTTAGCTTAACCTCTGAAATCCTGGTGCGTGCCTTCAAATCCTGGTGCTTACTGTTTGTACTCGAATGTTTTATTTGGATTCTCTAAGTCTGAGTTTTTGCTCAGTAAAATGAGGATACAAATCTTACATACCCTACATAGTGTGGTTGTGGTAAAAAAAAATTATTCTGACACTTGTTAAAATTGCAAGGAAAACTTTATTCAAGATGGTTGCATTAGGGGTCATGACTATCACAATAAAGGGGATAAATTGGATTCAGGTCTGAATATAGCAAAAACAGCTGGTGATTTATAGCCAAAAAATAGAGTGAGGGGGTTAGAGGATGGAAAATTACTAACAGAAGACATCAGTCCCCTCTTCCTAACAGTGAGAGGAATTCTTGCTAAACTGGCCTGACAGTTTCTTGCTAAAGGAAGGCCAGGACTTAGATATCAGAGGTGTAGGATGGGGAATTTGACCAGTTATCAAAGGAGAATGATTCCTACTACCCTGATTTAGTAGGACTTTTTAAGACAGGACTGGGGCCAATGTCAAGGCATACTCCAGAAGCAGGCTCAGAGAAGCCTGACTAAATTTCATTCAAGGACAGAATATGTCAATTGTGTGATTTGAAATAAATGATTCATGTAAAAACATTGGGTCAGTCTTTAGCACATAGTAAAGGATGATTCAATGTGAACTATTATAAAATTAACAACAATTACTTTTCTCTGCCATTTTAACTGTATATCTATCTATCTATCTATCTATCTATCTATCTATCTATCTATATCTACATATGTATAAATTGGAGACTTTTTTATATCAAAATCAAGACTAAATGCCATTCAAGTGTCTTCTTGAATTTAACAGGAGAAATATTTCCTTTAATGTTGTTTGTCCACTCTGGCTCCCCTGATAGAATGGTATGGTGAAAGGCTGGCAAAATGAGCATCTTGTATCTGAGAACTACATCTGAAAACTGGGATGTGAGGTGGACTTTCATCTTCTGAGGGAAAACAGCAAAAACCATGTCTTGAAAGAGTGCTAAAGTCAAGCCAGAGACATTACCAATGCTGTCTCAATTGTAGGATGAACCTGAGGTGAAATAATAGGAACTGAGGTATAGGATTGAATTGAGGTCATATTACCACTAGACCAGAGAAAGTACAGTGGCAAATATAAACAAATATATAAATTTCAGAGCCAGCGGAGCCTGGAGTATGGCTTTAATATATTCAGATAGAGCAAGTGCATTGTAGGTTAGATCTATTATACTTAACAGATTATAAAAGGACAGAGATGGCTCAATTACCTGGGAGCTGAAAATGTTAATAAACTTTGGGCTGGAGGTGCTGAAACTCAAAGGACATGTATTACATTTTTTAAAGTCAGACTGTTTTGTTTTGCTATTGAGTTATATGAATTCATTACACATTTTGGATATTAACTAGATAACTAATGTATGCTTTGCAAATATTCCTCCCTTTTGGTTGGCTGCTTTTTCATTTTGTTGATTGTTCCTTTTGCTGTATAGAAAGATGTTTCTCAGTTGGATGTAGTCCCACTTGCTTATTTTGATTCTGTTGCTTGTATTTTTGGTGTCATATAGAAAAAAAATCATTGTCAAGACCAATGTCAAGGAGTTTCCCCACACATTCTCTTCTAGGAATTTTACAGTTTCAGGTCTGACATTTAAGTCTGTAATTCACTCAAAGTTAATCTTTATGATTGGTTTGAAAGAAGGATCCAATTACATTCTTTTTCATGTGAATATTCAGGTTTCCCAGTACCATTTATTGGATCTATCCTTTCCCATTAAAGCAAACTGTTGACTTAGCATGTGTGACTTTTATTAAAAGATGTTTCTTCAATAGCTACCTTGCTGGAGATTATTTTTAATAATGAAAACCTCTTACATTTTGTCAAATTTTGTGTGTGCATTTATTGAGGGTAGCATTAATCTTTCATTCTGTTAATGTGATGTCTCACATTTATTGATTTGCATATGCTGAATCATTCTCAAATCCCAGAGATAAATCTCACTTAGTCATGATATATAATCCTCTTAATGTGCTGTTGAGTTCAGTTTGCTAGTATTTTGTTGAGAATACATTTGTATTGTATTCTCAACAAAATACTAGCAAACTGAACTCAACAGCACATTAAGAGGTAGTTGCCTGTAATTTTATTTTGTTGAGAATACATTTGTATTGTATTCTCAACAAAATACTAGCAAACTGAACTCAACAGCACATTCAGGGTTAGTTGCCTGTAATTTTATTTTCTTGTAGTGTCCTTCTTGGTTTCGATATCTTGGTTATGCTGGCCTTGTATCGAATAGAATTTGTTTAAGAGTGTTCCCTGCTCTTAAATTTTTTGGAAGAGTTTGAGAAGGATTGGTATTAATTATTCTTTAAATGTTTGGTAGAATTCACCAATGAAATCATCTGGTCTCAGGTTTTTCTTTGTGGAAGCTTTTTACTTTTTATTTTAATTTTATTTAATGTAGTTAACTTGTATCATTGTATAAATTTAAGGTGTAAAGCATATTAGTTAGATACATTTATATATTGTAGTATAATTAGTATTGTAGTGATTTTCACCAATTTACATAAAAACATGGAACTCTTCATGAACTCAAATTTCATCTTATTACAGGGGGCTTGTTAATCTTCTCTATATTGTTCCGATTTTACAATAGTATATGTGCTGCTGAAGGAAGCACAGGAAGGTTTTTAATTACTAATTTAATAGTCTTACTTGTTTTGGTCTGTTTAGATTTTCTATTTCTTCATGAATCAGTCTTGGTAGGTTGTATGATTTTAGGAATTTATCCATTTCCTCTAGATTACAGACAGTCCTTGGGTTATGTCAGACTCAGTGTATGTCATTTTGTGGTTACGTCGCCATCTCCCATTTATTATATTTATTTATTTTTTTTAAAGTTCCGTCATTTCAATGTATGTACATATGTACTCTATGTTTTTTATTATTTATTCACCACAAGTAAAGGTCAGGAATTATTATCTTTCTTTTAAATTTTTTTTTTACTGTTTCACTCCATTACTGCTGTGTATGAGCTACATGTGAGTGACATAGGTGCTTTTGTAGGTGGGTTCCCACTTACTGTGAAAATCGTGTTATGTCACACCATAGGAACGGATCTCCAACATAACCCAAGGACCTACTGTATTTGATTTGTTGGCCTATACTTTTTCATAGTAGTCTCTTATGATTCTTAGTATTTTGTTGTAATAGTTGTAATACCTCCTTTTTATTTGGCTCTTCTCTCTTATCTTAGTCTAGCTAACAATTTGTCAATTTTAAACTCTTAAAGAAAGCCAATTCTCAGTTTATTTTTTTTATTGTTTGTCTCATCTCAGTTTATTTCTGTTCTGGTCTTTATTTTCTTCAATCTACTAACTTTGGGCTTAGTTTGTTCTTTTCTTAGTTCCTTGAGTTATAAAGTAGATTGCTTTTTTGAGATTATTTTTATTAATATAGATGCAGATTGCTAAATCTTCCCTCTTACAACTGCTTTTGCTACAGCCTATTAGTTTTGATACCTTGTGTGATACGTTGTGTTTACATTTTTGTTTGTTTCAAGATTTTTTAAAATTTTACTTTTTATTTCTTCTGTGATCCATTGATGGTTCAGGAGCATGTTTTTTAAATCAGCATAATTTTTAATTTTTAAATGTTTCTTCTAGTTACTGTTTCTAGTTTCATTCCATCATGATCAGAAAAGATACTTGATAAGAGTTTAATGTTTCTATATTTCCTAAAACTTGTTTTGTGATCTAACATAGGATCTATCCTAGAACATATTCCATGTGCACTTGAGTAGACTGTGTATTTTGTTGCTGTTGAATGAAATGTCTGGTGTCAAGTGTAGTTCAAGTCCATTTTTTTTCTTATTAATTTTCTGGCTGGATAATTTATCTATTGTTGAAGTGTTACTAGTAAAGTAATTATTATTATACATATTATTGTTTGTTTCTCTCTTACATTTGCTAGTATTTGCTTACTATATTTAGATGCTCAAATGTTGGGTGCATATATATTTATGATTATTATATCCTTTTGATGGATTAATCCCTTTATTATTAGAGGTCTGGTGCATGAAATTCATGCATGGAGGGGGTCCCCATCAGCCCAGCCTGCACACTTTCCAATCCAGGACACCTTGGGGAATGTCTGACTGCTGGTCATCCCTCTCACAATCCTGGACCACTGACCCCTAATCCCTCATCTGCCTGCCTGCCTGGTCACCTCTAACTGTCCCCTCCCTGCCAGCATGGTTTATTCTCACTGACCTTCCCACCCCTGCTGGCCTAGTCACCCCTAACTCCCCCCCCCCCCCACCAGCCTGGTCACCCCCCCTGCTGGCCTGGTCACCCCTAAATGCTCCTCCCTGCCAGCTTGGTCGTCCCATGCAGCCTGCTTGTTCATCGTTGGCCATCCCTCACTAACCCCATGCCATACTTCTGCCACCACAGCAGGGCTGAGGGGACTGGGCGCCACCATCTTGTGGCTGTGGGCACTGCCATATTTGAAAGCAAAGCTGTCAATTAGCATATCCCCTCCTTATAGGCTGTGGGTGCCACCATCTTTGTGAGGGCAGGATGGTCAATTAGCATATTCCTTCTTTATTAGATAGAATGACTTTATGTTATGTTATGGTTTTGGACTGAATGTCTACTTTGTTGTAATTTTAGAAATTCCCTCTTTCTTTTTGTTTCCTGATGGCATGGGATAGCTTTCTCATCCCTCACTTTGATCTTATGGATGTTCATAGAGCTGTGTGAATCACTTTATAAGCAGCATATAGTTGCCTTTTGTTTTATTAGCCACTCAACAGGTACTCTGTACCTTTCAATGTGAGAATTTAATCCATTTACAATTAAAGTAATTATTGATAGATAAGGACTTACTAATACCATCTTATTGTTTTCTAGTTTACTTGCCCCTTTTACCTTTTCTTTCTGTCTTCCTTTGTGAGTTGATGATTATCTGTATTTATGATAGTATGCTTTGATTTCCTTCTCTTTATCTTTTGTATAACCACTGTATATGCTTTGTGGTTACCATGAGGCTTACATGAAACATACATATAACAGCCCATTTTAAGTAGATAACAGTTTAACCTAAAGTGTATAAAGCCTACCTTTCAGTCCTCGATTTACGTTAGACTCAACATATGTTGTTTCGTGGTTACATCATCATCTCCCATTTATTTATATTAAAAAAAAAGTTCTGTCTGCCGAAACTGGTTTGGCTCAGTGGATAGAGCATTGGCCTGCAGACTGAAGGGTCCCAGGTTTGATTCTGGTCAAAGGCATGCACCTTGGTTGTGGGCACATCCCCAGTAGGGGGTGTGCAGGAGGCAGCTGGTTGATGTTTCTCTCTCATTGATGTTTTTAACTCTCTATCCCTCTCCCTTCCTCTATGTAGAAAATCAATAAAATATATTTTAAAAAAAGTTCTGTCATTTGGACCTATGTACATATGTGCTTTATGTTTTTTATTATTTATTTACCACAAGTAAAGATCAGGAATTGTTATCTTTCTGTTAATTTTTTTTTTTTTTTACTGTTTCACTTCATTACTGCTGTGTATGTGCTCCATGTGAGTGATGTAGGTGCTTATGTAGGTGGGTGTTTATGTAGATGTTTTAAAGTCACAACTTGCATGTTTTATATATTGTTGTATTATTAAAATTTATTGTATTTATAGTTATTTTTAAAAATAATTTTATTGTTTAATTTAAACTAGTAATAAATGATTAACATAGTACCTTATTGCACTATTTGGATATTCTCCATTCAACTATATACTCACCTTTACCAGTGTGTTTTGCATTTTCATATATGTTCATGTTACTAGTTAGCATCCTTTTATTTCAGCAGAAGAACTTCCAGCGTTTCTTATAAGACAGGTCTAACGGTAATTAACTCTTTCAGTTTTGTTTTACTGGGAAAATATTTATCCTTTATTTCTGAAGAACAACTCTGCCAAATAAGTTATTAGCTGGCAGGTTTCCTCTTCTTTCAGCATGCTCAATATGTCCTCCCACTGTCCCTTGGCCTTCAAGCTTTCTGCCAAAAAATCTACTTATGTCCTTTTTTTCCTTTTCCTTTAAAAATTGTCTTTGATTTTAGAGTTTTATTATAATGTGTCTCAGAAATGCTCTCTTTACTTTTATTTTTTTTCTTTTTAAATTAAATTTATTTGAGTGACATTGTTGACTTAATTTGGTGACTTACAAGGTTCATGAACTTGGAAGCTCTCAGCCACTATTTTTTAAAGATATTTTTTATTGCTGATAGTATTACAGATGTCTCCCATTCCTCTCAAACCCTTGCTTCCTGCCCTCTTTTCTCTCTCTTCTCCTTCTGGGATTCTAGTAATTTACATATTATTGCTATTGATGGCATCACATAGTTCATGTAGGCTTTGTTCATTTTTTGAAAAATGTTTGTTTTTATTGATTTCACAGGGAGGAAGGAAGAGGGAGAGAGAGAAATATCTATAGGTTGCCTCCTGCACACCCTCTACTGGGGATCTAGCTCAAAACAGGGGCATGTGCCTTAACTGGGAATTGAACTCTGACCTCCTGGCTCATAGGCTGACACTCCATCACTGAGTCACATCAGCCAAGTGGCTTTATTTACTTAAAAATAATTCTTTTAAACGTATTTTCCTCTGACCAGATGATTTCAAATTTCCTGTCCTCTACTTCATAGATTATTTCTTAAGCTTAGATGAAGTCTGACATTGATGCTTTCTATTGTATTTTTCATTTTATTTATTGTATTCTTCAGCTCTAGTATTTCTTTGTGTTTTTAAAGATTATTTTTATCTCCCTGTTAAATTTCTAATTTTGTTTATGTATTATTTTCCTAATTTAATTAAATTGTTTTCTGGTAGCTCATTGAACATTCTTAAAACAACTATTTTGTATTTTTAACCTGATAAATCACAGATCTCCATTAATTTGGGGTTGGTTACTGGAACATTGTGGTGTTACTTTGATAGTGTCATGTTTCTTTAAATCTTGTGTTGCTATATTTGCATATCAAGAAGGAGTCACTTTTATCTAGTCTTTACTGACTTGGCTATATCCAATCTCAGATTCTTTTATTGCTCCCACTGCTCTGCTAGACTCTTAGACTTCCAAAAAGGCAATCTTATCTATGGATGATTGTCAAAATCAGTGTTCTTTCTGGGGAAGATGTTAGAAAACTCCTATCTTGCCATTTTGATGATGTTGCTCTCTGAGTTACTTTGATTTGCTTTCATCCTTATTGTGGCTCTAGCTCTTATTATAAGAAATCTGGGAAGTATGCCACCCAGAGATGCCAGTACTTCTTCAATAAGTATTCCCTAACATTCAATCAAAAAGTAAAAGTTAATATCTTATTCCATTAATAGCAACTGTCCATTTCTTCCTTCCTTCCTTCCTTCCTTCCTTCCTTCCTTCCTTCCTTCCTTCCTTCCTTCCTTCCTTCCTTCCTTCCTTTTTTTTTTTTTTTTTTTTTTTACCTGTTTTGATGTTTTCCTGCCTGTATCTCTGCTTTGAGTGCTGCCTTCAGATAACATGGGTCACACTGTTGCTATTGCTTTCAGCTTGCGTGCCCACTTTCTGTACTCACTGTTGTATTCTGATTTGGGGCACCTCTGTTCCAGTCTGCCATCACCTAGCTTCTCTGGATTTAATAGGAA